GCGAAAAAGCTGACAATCTGCAGCTGCGCCAAACAGACCCTAAGTTTTGGATTGTCGTTGCAGGGTTACTGGTGTCGTTAGATTTTTATTGCCAGTGTCTAGTTATTAGAGTGTCTTCAATTAACTATCGTCATCAAGTCATTGCCGCCTCTCTATCATTGGCAAACCCTTGCATTTTGATCTTCATTGGTGAATTGTCTGACCACCATTGTTGAAATTTTGTCACATGTCCACTATTTATCGAGCTACCATAATCCCACCACAGTTATTGAACCATATCATTTGTTTGTAATTATTAGGCCATTGTCATTTGATCATCACCGTCTAGCCAGTGCCGCTTGAACACTATCATAGAACCCTCAATTTTTTGCCATCTTTATAGAACCATTGGTATTGGATTGTTATCACCCTTAGATCGTTATTGGACTGCCTCCATCTAACCATCATCATTGGTTATTGTTGTACGTCTGCCATTGTCAAACCCTTGCCCTCTAACAATCATGATCACTACTGTCAAAATAGTAATGCAGGTCCATTACTATCGAGCTACTACATTTGACCACAATTGTTGAATCTTTGTCAATCACCTGTCATTAATAAGCCACCACAATTTGACCGTGACATTCAAGGTGGTAGTGCCTGAACACCATCATAAAATCATTATCTCTCGCTGATCATCATTATTTGTTGGTTTTCTAGCTACAACCATCTAACCTCTATTTCCATTACTATAGTTGCCTGATTATAGATGTCTTATCTCCATCGCTTAACCACAATCATTCAAACAAAGTTAATGTAACATATCAAACTCTCACCATTAAGATATTGTTCGCTTTGACTTATGGCCTCACTGATGTAACTTCCCAAGAGGTCTCTCATCACAACGTGCTTCCATTAGATCACACTTAACTTTGGATTTCCTCATAAACTCTAATCCTTACATTAAAACGTGCCTCGTTATTTGAGAATTTAGTTTCATTCTACTTAAAGGGTTTCATAATCTCTTATCACTTGCATAATCGACATCACCATCAATGTTCATATTTATAAAAATATTATTTAAACTTAATCCTCAAACAACGAATTGACTAAATCATTACATTAAATAATTTCCTTATTTTTATAAATAATGAATATGAACCACTCCATTGGACAGCTCTAGGTGATTCTTTTGATCGAATAACATTTTGTGAACCCTTGGGTGCCTTAACAATGTCGTAATTGAGTGATCTTTGGTTGGATTCAGATATTCTAATTAAAATTTAATTTGAATTTCATTAAAACTACATTAACAATGCTCCGAGCACATAGTACTATCTGAACTATGCCCATACTTGAAACTTATTCTAACATTGTTTGAAATTTGCTTCGAATACTTATTATTATTTGATTAAAACCATGGTTTTTCTTAAATATTGCAAATATACTCTAAGTATTGCTGATTAAGACAAACTCTAATTTAATATTGTGTAGTTAAAAGTGAGAATATTTTTATTAGAAATCAACTTTAAGCCATATAAGCCGCATTATCTATGCATTAAAATATATATTTTATTTTTTAAATTTTTAAATAGTGATATTTTTATGGAAAAATTTAAGGGGTATAAAGATAAAAAGAGCAAAGTTCAAAAATAACTCCCTAACTATTTACATGAGGTCGTTTTAGTCCCAAAATTTATAGAATGTCAAAATAGTTCTCATACCCTTTAAACTGGGGGCGCATTTTCTATCCAGACGCCTGACGTATATTTACGTGCGGTGCAGTTTATTCCTGAGATATTTTCAGGTTATTTCTGGGTTATTTTCAATAATCCCAAAATAACTTAGAAATAACCTAAAAATAAAGATCGCGGGTTATTTTTAGGTTATTTCGGGATTTTTAAAAAATAACTCTGAAATAACCTGAAAATAACTCAAGAACACCATGCGCCGCACGTAAAACTACCTCAGGAGTCCTCACAGAAAAATTTTTGTTAAACTGGGGTTGTAATAATTCCCACTGGCAACTTTAATCAATATAAAAAAAGTAAGCTTAGATATTACATATGTAAATAAATAAAAACTTTGGCGGTATATACGTGAATACCTCATTTTTTTTCATGATAATATTTATTGAATTCTTACCTTTTTCCCCATGTACTTTTCTACTTCCTCCACTTGCTTGCCTCTCCTCCTCATCTCTTGCTTATTCTAAGAAAAATTATTACGTCCGGACTCCAGATGTAAAAGTAAGTTCAGAGTCCAATAAAATCACGTCACATAGAGGTGACAGAAAAATTTAAAAAAAATCATTTTAACACAAGAGAATATTCTCCAGTGTTATTTCGCATTATTAAGGTGGTATTGTGGTGGTATTTATGTGTTATTATGTTATTATAACACCGAAAATATTCTCATAACACAATAATACATGAATATCATCACAATATTACCTGAATAAAGCACAATAACACGAGAGAATATTCCCTTGTGCCAAAACGAATTTTTTTTAAATTTTTCTGTCACCTCCACGTGGTGTGATTTTATTGGACTCTGGAGTCCAGACATACCTCTATGTCCAGAATCCAGACATAATAATTTTTCCTATTCTAAGGTCGAGCTAGCTTAAAAAAATTTAAATTAAAAGTATACTTAAAATACATTAAATTTCATGAATTTTTCTTTAAATTACTTTAAAATTTTAAAAATAATATTTTACATTTCATAACAAACGATTTCTTATTAATTATTTCTAAAATGCTCGATCTATTTATCATTTTTAAGTACAACACTAACTTAGATTTATTTTTTTTTTAATTTCTTTAGTTCTAAACAAGTCGTCTCAAATTTACAGAATTAAGCTCGAGCTTGAGTTCAAACTCGATTAATTAATCAAACTCAAGCTAAGAGGTGCTCGAGGAGAACATCAACATGCGAACAAGCAAAAGGCGAAAAAGATGGGAGTGTGAATGTTTAATATTTAAAAATTAAAGGGTTCTGAGAGTAAACATTGAAGTTTTGTTGTTAAAAATGTATCAGAGCTTGAATAGTTTCCACTAGCTTTGATTTTTCAAGTCTAACCTGCCACTTCATACATACTACAAAATAATCAAGAACTAATGTTAACAGTGAGAGCTCCAAAAGACCAATTGATAAAATTTGTTAATCATGCAAAAAAAGAACAGAAGTTTAACATTTTTCTTTGGGGGGAATTTGCATAAATTTCTTATATTTTTACATATCTAATGCCAAAACTTTAATATTAAATGTGAACATCATACTTTAGGTGTTAGATATGTAAATACATAAGAATTGTGCGGTATGTATGTAAATTTTTCTCTTTTTAAGTAAGATGAGCAATAAACCTCCAAAATAAGCAAAAAAGAGAACTAAAACAAAGATAACAAGCCTTCATCCCACTAAGTGGAGACGGCTACATAAATACTTTTTCTCCATTGTGTTCTATTAAGAGTCGTATTTTTATTTAATTCTAATAAACTAAGAATATTTTTATACAATGTGACTAAGTCTTCTTTAAGTCTACCTCTGCCTTTCTTAACATAAATCAAAACTCAAACATCTACTCTCCTAACCGGATCATGATCGACATTTAATGTGACCATAGCATATAAAAAGACTCTCTAAGCTTATTTCCCTTTCACGGATAGATTTGTTTCGCATTTTGTCTCTAAGCATTAATCCACTCACGCACCTTTGCATTCTCATGTCAACAACACACAACTTTGTCTTATGCTTCTCTTTTAAATGCCAACATTTTGCGACGCAAAGCATTATAGGTCTCACCACCAGCTTATAAAATTTCCTTTCAGTCTAAGCGATAATTTTCTATCACACAATAGACTCGAAACATTCATCCAATCAAGCAACTCGAATTCTACTAATAACATCCCCATCTATATCACCATCAAACAATAGACCCGAGATATCTAAAGCGTTCACACATTTTAAGGATTTGATCACTCATAGTTACAATTTTGGCACTAGAGTTACTACTACTAAAATTACATTCTATGTATTCAATTTTAGTTCTACTTAATCGAAGGCCTTTAGTCGAAGGCCTTTAGACTCCAAGGCCTTTAGACTCCAACGTAGAGATCTCCATAATTCAAGTTTTTCCCGAACTTTTTTTCTAGTCTTATCCACAAGAAGGATATCATCAATGAAAAGCATACACAAGGTACATCCTTCTGTAAATGCCCAATAAGATCATCCATAACTAAAACAAAGCGACATGGGTTTATAGTCGATCCCTAATGTAATCAAATCAAAATAGAAAAAAACTTTGTCAGTCCTCCTACTGTTCGAACAAAAGTAACAACTCTAGCATACATACCGTTAATAACTTGAATATAAGTCATATCAAAACTTTTCTCTCTAGAACTCTCCAAAGAACATCACTAATAAAATACCACTATTACTAACATTTTAAAAGTGAAACATCACTTTTTATGCATAGGTTTTTCACACCAAAGTGGTATTTTGTATGTGATGTTAACAATTTGAGTGATATGTATGTAGATATTAAACTTTAGGTGTTAGATATGTAGATACATAAGAATTGTGAGGTATGCATGTAAATTTTTCAAAAAAAAAAAAAAAAAATACAGTATAGAGAGGTGGATTTCCCATAATTAGTAAAAGCAAATGGCCTCAACTATTCATTACTGTGACAATTAGCTCAATAAGATGTTTAAAACAACTAAACATCCACCAAATTTCCAGTCATAATACAATGCAAAATCCCTTTGATTCTATGTTTAAATAAGTGTGAAGTGTAAACTTGGTTAAATACACATGCCTGAAAAAATGAAAATGGATATTAGAATCACCTCTCTCGTGATGCTTTCAAGCCTGTAGCCTCCATGATGCAAGAGAACCACCAAATTTAATCAAATATACACACAACAGCCTGTAAAATTTGTGCTCTAAGATCCCACTACTGGTTGTGCAACCCCCTTCGCTTTCACCGCTGCAGAAGCAGCTGCCACCGCCGCCGCCGCAGCTGAAGGTTGCGAAGATGCTGCCGGCATCGTTGAATTCTGCTGCAACGGAATTACCGCCGCTTGCTGCTGCGAGTTAACCTGAGCAAGCAAATGCTTGATCTGAGCTCCAGTTAAAGTTTCCTTCTCCAATAGAGCATTGGCTAAAGCATGCAACTCTTTGTTATGATTAGACAGAATAGTTTTTGCATTGTGATACGCCCGCTCCAGGAACTGCTTCACCTCTTTCTCAATCAAAAGCCTCGTCTCTGTGCTCATGCTCTTCCCATTATCATCATAGTTATGCGCAACAACTCCCACCTCCTTGCTCATCCCATACTTTGTCACCATGGCTCTAGCAATGGAGGTCGCTTGTTGAAGATCCGACGAAGCTCCAGAAGTGATTTCGTTCTCCCCAAATATAAGCTCTTCCGCAACGCGTCCACCCATGCAGACATCAAGCCGTGCGAGCATTTGCTTTAGAGAGAGGCTCGTCTCATCCTTGTCGGGCAACTGGGCGACCATACCAAGAGCCATTCCACGGGGCACGATCGTAGCCTTGTGGACGGGGAGAGCGCCATCGGTATGAATGGCGACAAGAGCATGACCGCCTTCGTGGTATGCAGTTAGCTTCTTCGACTCGTCGGAAATCACGGCAGATTTGCGCTCGCTACCCATCATTATCTTGTCTTTTGCGTATTCAAGATCAGCCATGGTGACAGCTTTGGCCCCATCCATGGCAGCCTTGAGAGCAGCCATGTTAACCAGGTTTGCAAGGTCGGCGCCCGAGAAACCGGGCGTGCCTCTTGCTATGATTGACAAGTCGACGTCATCTGCCTTCAAGATCTGCGCCAAATAAAAATACAAGAAAGCAGGTAAAACAATTAAAAATTGCATACCAAAGTGCAAACAAAATTAGTGTAATGCCTTGTAATCTTGTTAGTAGCAGAAGTAGATGGACAAGAATAACGTTGCTTTGTAATTCAACATGCATGAACGTCTTATGCAACAATTATGGTATTGGTATCCAAGTTTATTTAACAGAGCACAATATTTTGCAGGCTTACAAATTACAATAATTTTACAGGTTTCAAAACATTTTTTATCATTTTATGCTAATTTTTAGACTTTGGTTCCACAGAATCCACAAATTAGCCATCTTTTCCATTTTTAATGTACCTGAGATACTTAATGGAACAACATAGGAGCTGTAACCTGGCTAACTGTACCATTTGCATATAACTGTGTGGAAAGAAACACCATGCTTCCCGTAGAATGGATTTGCTAGAAATTTGAAAATATTATTATAAACGGAAATTCACAGACATAGCACACAATACTTTATGTATCTGCATATCTCACACCTAAACTTTCATATTTACATACATAGAACTTTGGTGCTTTAAAACTAAGCATGAAAAGAAGTGATAATCGTGCTATTTTTTATGTGATATTAACGATTTGAGTGCCGTGTAAATATGAAAGTTCAGGTGTGAGATGTAAATACATAAGAATTGTGTGCTGTGATATTTATGTAAATGCCCCTATTATAAATTCTCAACTAGAATGGACTAACTAATAGAGTTTCATATACAATTCCATTAATTGATCTGTCTACTGAATTTCAGAGAGTTTTAAGGTCCTGCAGTACTACCAGGTCAGATAGAGTATTCAAGCAGCTGGTTTAAATACCAGCAGATGCAATGTAGCAAACAAAACAGAAGAGAACATCAAGTGACGGTATATAATTTTAGCTGCAATTTAAAAACAATATTATTTAAGAAGATTTACATGCATACCACTCAATATCTATCTATTTACATATCTAACACATAAACTCCAATTACTTACATGCATACCACCTCAGCTATGCATGAAAAAAGAGTCCTTCACTTTTTAAAATTTAAAATGGCGGTATTTTTTATGTGTTACGAAAGGTTTTGACTCACCTTAGACATATGGGATTCCATAATCTGTCTTCGACCCTCGACATCTGGATTCGGGACAACAATATGACGATCGAAACGCCCAGGCCTCACCAGTGCCTTGTCCAATGACTCTGGAAAGTTTGTTGCGGCGATGACAATAATCCCCTCGTTTTGCTTAAAACCATCAAGTTCAACAAGCAATTGATTAAGTGTCATCTTCATGTACTGCTGATCCTTTGGATTACGACTTCCACCAATTGCATCGATCTCATCAATAAAAATTATACAGGGAGACCGCTTTTTAGCTGCGGCGAAAAGGTCCCTAACCCTCCTTGCTCCTACGCCAACAAACATCTCTTCAAACTCGCTTCCACTACAAGAGAAAAAGGGAACTCCAGCTTCTCCTGCAATAGCCCGAGCTAACATGGTCTTTCCAGTGCCAGGGGGACCAACAAGGAGGACGCCTTTTGGAAGCTTCCCACCTAAGCAAGTGAAACGCTGAAAAATAGAAGGAAAATTTACATAAATACCAATCAATTCTTATCTTGTTACATATCTAACACCTACACTTCAATTTTTACATAAATGCCACCTTATCTATACATGAAAAGGTGTATTTCACTTTTTAAATATTAAATAGTGGTATTTTTTATGTGATAAAAAAGATTCAAGTGTTATAAATGTAAAAAATAAAATTTGGGTGTTACATGCATAAATACATAAGAATTGGGTGATATATATGTAAATTAGAACAGTAGGAACTAAGACATTTACTTGTTTAACACCTGGTGTCAATTTGATGGTTTGTATCATATAACCTTTCAAAAGCAAATAAAACCTAATTAAAATTATAAAGCATGTTCTTAACAAAAGCATACAATATAAGTTTAGTGATGCTTTAACCTTACAATAACTCCATGTAATGGTATTGCCATAATGACATTCAATAAGCAATGTTACTCATTAAATATCCACGTGCCTACTTTGTTAGAGGACATAATCCTTAAATTTAAGGTGAAATAGATTTTTGATAAGAGGTATTTTATTTGTTTGATTTGTCCTTATGCTCGGGTGGTTGAAAATACCACTCAAACGTTATGTATTTACAAATCTAACACCTAAACTTCAATTTTTACATACAGCCACCTTCCCTATTCATGAAAATATATTTCACTAAAAAGTTAAAATAGAAGTATTTTTTAAGTGATAAGAAATATTTGGGTGATATAAATCTAAAAAGTAAATTTTAGGTGTTAGATACGTAAATACATGAGAACCAGATGGTATGTAGTTAAATGTCCCTAATATTTAGCCATGGCATAGGTAATCCTTAGTTCCTTACTAACATACAATGTGAATCCTTGTGATATAAAGCTTATGAGACAAATGGTTATAATAGATATATCATGTCTATCTTGGTTATTAATGTGCCGGAGTACAATATAGTTATATTTGGCTTTGGGGATCTGAGATACCATTGTCAATATTAATCATATATAATTTCACATATATGATTTTTAATGAATTTAATGACTTTTCATACTTCAAATTTATGCAGATGTGCAATGAAGCTTTATGTTTATGCAGATTGTTGAAGGTATAAATCTTCAGAGGAGAAAAAAAAAAGAAATGGAATTAGCAACTAAAGCAAAAGCTAAATAAGAATAAGATATTGCAGAACAATGTTATGTATAACAACCAATTAAAATAATTGCATAAATATTTTTTTCTAGGAAGATTTACTTGCATACCACTCAATTCCAATGTGTTCACCTATCTGACACCTAAACTTCAATTGATATATATATGCCGCCTTACCTATGCGTGTAAAAGGAAAATTTCACCTTTTAAAAATTAAAATAGTGGTATTTTTTATGTAACATGAAATATTGAGTGGTATAAAAGTACAAAAAAGTTTAGGTGTTAGATATGTAAATACATAAGAATTAGGTGGTATGTATTTAAATGCCGCTATTTTCTTTTACCATAGGATCCCGAAGGTAATGGACAATTTCCTCTAATTCAGCTTTAGCCTCATCAACTCCCTTTACATCAAGAAATTTTGTGCTAGAATCCATGATTGGCTGCACCTCCTCATGCAGTCCAAGCCCTGTGCAGCAATATTAGGATACAATTTGGGTCAAACGATAATTACGAGAAATTTAAGATAATTCCAGGCAAAAACATACCTTTGCTAATTCCTCTATCCTCAATAAGCGCACCAACCCCAGAAATCACAAGAAAGGTAAGTGCAATAGTGCGAAATGTGCGCCATAATTGCTCTTTAAAATTACTGGTTTCTGCTGTCACCATGTGAATCGGAGAATTTGCAGTCCCAAGAACCCCCTCTTTAGTTGCTAAACCCCGTTTCTTCAAGCCTGGAATATTGCTGATGCTCTCCTCGTTCCTCAACGAATCAGCCATACCTATATTAAGATACATATATTCACCGGATTGCTGTACTTCAACTAGCGAAATAAATCTGGATTGTCGTACTTCAACTAGTGAAATAAAGATGTAGATTAACAGAAGAACAATCCAGAAAACCACTACATATTGTCCAAGAAGCAAACTATGGATAACTAAGCCCCAGTTGCATCTGCCATCTCTAGCGGCCAAGATTTAAAAAGGCATTCAAGATGCCCGCCTCTCCATGAGACATGCAGTAAGCACCTTAAGGCTTCCAATTTCGAGTCTAAATGAGGTCTAAACCCTTTGCATTCAAGACAGGTCTCAAGCTTATACACCTCGAGACACGTGAGGGGAGCGAATCAAATTAACATTTATATATTGATACCGGAGTTACACCCTAATAAAGATAGAAAATCAAATATTATCGTTGAATTCAAAAAAGAGAAATACAATCACACAAATGGAAATAGATATAGCAACATACTAGACTCAAACGCAACTAATGTTGTATCTCAAAGGGGTGGTGGTCGATTAAAAAGGATGGAAAGACGCCGGGTGGCTGTGGTGGGCTGGTGGAAAACTGCGGCAGGGAGGCTGGAGAGTGCGCTGCAGTGGAGCTGCAGGAGAGAAGATGTGGTTGGACTGCAGAGGAATGGGAGGCGTGACTGCAGAGCAGCAAGAGAAGGTCAGAGGGATGGCTGGGCAGCAGGAGGAAAGGAGGGATGTGTGGCTGAGCAGAGCAGGGAGACTTGGTGTCTTGAAGGGCCGGGAGGTGTGATGGTTGCAGGGAACAGTAAAGATGCTATCCTTCGGGGTGGCTGCAGTAGGGAAGAAGGCGGCGGCGGCAGAGGGAACGATAGGGCGGAAGGGAAAGTCAAAATATAACTACCAAAATTTGGTCCAAATATCCAAATGAAACAAAAGAAACTGAAATATAAACACAATTTTTTTTGTATTCTTAGCTCTAAAGGTAATAGAAGTGCCAAGAAAGGATATTTAAATTCACATTAACAACAATCCTAATGTACCCATCACAAGGCATAAAAAGACAAAAAAATATGATTAAGTAATCTTGCATTGAAGCAACGCCTACATAGAAATCAGGACCAGAAATATTATAAAAAATAACTCTTAAAAAGTGCAAAAGCACCTACACAATATCAATGTCTGTCACAAGTAAACTATAAAAGTTATGCAATGTTGAATGTAAAAAATAAACTTGGAAAGCAGATAGCATACTCAAAGAAACTCCTAAAATTAACTTGAGAGTCCCAGGTACTAAGAAACTTAAAGAAAAACTCTGGATAAATCAGTAAATCGGTAGTTTCTGATGCAAATAGTCCAACATCAATTGCACAGCCAACAAATTAGAAGCATAAGCAACAAGATAATATTCATGAAAAAATATCCTTATTGAGAAGGGCATTAATGGAACACGAATGCATGCATAAAAATTCTACTTAACCAACAAAAGAACGGAAGATTTGCATACATACCACTCAATACCTATGTATTTACATATATAACACCGAAACTTCAATTTTTACACACCTATCACCTTACCTGTGTATGAAACTGTGTATTTCACTTTGTAAAAGATAAAATAGTGGAATTTTTTAAGTAATTTGAAAGATTTGTGATGGTAAAAATGTAAAAATTAAAATATAGGTGATAGATATGTAAATACATATGAATTGGGGGTATGTATGTAAATGCCCATACCTCTTTGTAGTGTTTTTAGCAATGAGCTTTCATCGAGCCTGTCAACCTTAACTAACGCTTTAACATACTCAGCAAGGGCAGCAGGGTTAGAATGTAATGAAGGCCGACTTTCAAATAGCCGAATAACCCCTTCTGGATCTCTTCTATAAAGTTCTTTAAGTAGAGTCATATCGCTAGGTGAATCTGCATCATGTAGCCTACGAGAAAAAGCACCAGCATAACTTGATTGCCATCTTTCATGATAATTTCCAAGATGACTTCCTGAAATAGTTGACAAAGAAAAAATGCTGCGAATAAATATTCTTAGGAAATAAATAGCCAAATAAAACGATTACAACTATGTACAACCAAAACTTGTGTTTTTTTAGAGCAAAATAATATATATTATAATTTAACAAAAAGAGTTCAACCAAAACAAAAAAAAAAATTCAGCACTGCTCTTCCAATTAGGTTGTGCATTAATTGGAGGAAAAAAAACAGAAAAAATGAGCCAAAACAACCTTATTCCGACAGTTTGGCTCATAAATTGTCAATTCACTGTTGAAGGTAAAAATAGAATTTTAAAAAAAGGAATTTTAAATGAATTAATGCCATCCCTGCTCTCGCCCTAGTTAGGGCTGTCAAAACGGCTCGTTGTTTGTGTAAAACGGTTCGTTGTTCGGCTTGTTAAGTAACTCATGTTCAATTTGTTCAAGCAAAAAAGCCAAACACATAAAATTTTTTTGCGCTCTCCATAATATGAACTCAAAGAAAGTTTTATTCATTTTGTGTTTAGCTTGATTTGACTAGACATAAATAAATTTTGATGAGTATTATTTTTAAATAATTTAATTGACTACAAGGCTACAGATATTTAAAATTAATTAAATTTATTAATTTAAAAAACAGAATAAATATATATATAATTCTATTGAAATGAATATTTTAATATAAATAATAAGATTTAAACCTTGCCCCTAACCTTAGCATCTTACGGTCGTGTGACTAGGCTGTACAAATGGTTCGTTGTTCCTGAATTACTCGTATTCGCCTCATTAAGCAAACGAGTTGAACACGAATAAATTTTTTAAGCTCGATATATAAATGAGTTGAGCACAAACAATGATATGTTTAACAAGCCGAACACAGATAGTGCCTAGGCTCGCTCAAGCTCGGCTCCTTTACACCCCTAGCCCTACCTCAATAATTGCTCCCACATTCTTACTCTCTTGTATTGATATAGGCACAAAATATAAATCTCAAATAGGGGGTCGTCTTTCTCTTCTTTTGGACTCGGGAAAAGAAATGCGGGTATTGCAGTGTACGGGACCTCCCATCTCCAGTATTTTCTCCCTATCCCGCACAATTTGTTAGCCCTAGCCACATGAACCAGAGGTCAAACACTTCTTCCACCCTCCAGTTGCAAATTTTGCCTCCTCCTCCAATATTCGCAAACAGCCCGCTCAAACCTTCCTTCCTATTTGTGCCTGCAAGCTTTGCGATATGGTAAGCAACTATGGGATCGCGGCGTACAAAGACCTTTGAAACTCTCGTCTGCCTATTGTTTCTAACAAGACCCACTCGAGATTGCACGCAGAAACCCAGTTGAAGCCCTTTTCCCCTCTAGTTCGCACACAGAAGTAGCCTGCTCTCCCTGTTCGCCTGTCTCACTCGTGATACAATCATGGCTAAGGAAATAAGGGAAAACAATTACGGGAAACGACGGGATCGCAACAAACAGAGACATTTGAAACTTATGTTTGTAGAGGGGAACGAAGCCACATCTTTAGTCTCGTTGTCCTAGTCGCTCCAATAAGCCGCCAAAACCCAAAACTCCTCTCTATTCTAAAAGCCCTCATCTTACTTATTTGAGCGATATTGTTGCGATTATAACAAACAGAGAAAGCGACAACAAGATCGTGACACACAAAAACTTATGAAATTCTCATTTTTCTTTATTTCCACTTTGTCTTCCTCTACAAGAAGCAGAATAGAAGCCAGTCATTAGCCTCTTACATATTCGACCATGACCCCAGCCGCAAGATGCACCCATATTCACTCCTCAACCCGAGCCAACACATCAGCCCTATTTCTTTCCCTCCCATTCTATTTAACTGAAAAAAAAATTGATAAGAAGCTTCTGTAAGATATAACTGGGAGGCTCTTCCATGAATGGCAATATAGCGGTAATGGAGCATTGACCAAGGAAACGCTGGTCGACCATTTTCAGAGACAATATTCATAGGAGTGTTGAGATTAATTGAGAACGAATACATGTCTTATAAACGGATGAATTAGAATGCTCCTTTATGGCTGCAATGTCTCACGACACTGATTAGCGTATCTTATAGATAGTTGGGCATGTTAGACACCCCGATGCAGTCCATTAAATGGGGACGATGCCAGACGACAGTCGTTTTTTTTTTTGGACTTACATATGACTCAAACTTTTGAACTCTATAAAACTGCACATATTTAAAATGTAATTTTGTAAACTTGCAAAATAATTCAAAATGTGAATTTAAACTTAAAAATAACTTTAAAATATTAACTAAATTGATTTAATAATGTGACAACAACAATAATAAAGCCTTTATCTCACTACATGTGGTCTGCTACATATTATTAATGGAAGCAAATAGGCAATTATAATCAAGCATACTTGAAAATAAAAATACAACACACGTGACACAAACTTGTGTTACGGTGAATCCCAACTGATAGCGGTGACGGTTAGGTGCCCTGGAGAGATGCAGCAATGTAGGAAAGGAGTTTTCGAGCTGTGAAAAAGGAGTGACTGCGATTTTAGGCGGCCGGAACAGTAGGGCAGCAAGAGACAGCAGTCCAAACAGCAGCAATTTGCTGTTTGTGACGGCTGGATAGCAGGAAAACAGCAAAAGGAAGGTGTTGTGTGTGTGATAGCAACGGTACAGGGTTGGGACAGCGAGGGTAGCGAGGATGGAGCACCGGAACAGCACTAGCAGCAGTCATGGGGAGGCTAAAACGCTGTGAGGAGTCAAAAACAGTAAAAGGGAGGGTTGGCAGCAGATTCCAAAAGAAGACAGCAGGAAAGAACAACAATGTTGACTGTCCTAGGCGGCCACAACAAGGAAAGACATTGGTAGCGAAGCAAGCGGTGTAGGGGGATAACGTTACTACCTCAGATGAGTTACAATTGAAGCACATTTTCATCTTTAGATACAACCCTCAAAAAGGATCACTGGAAGCTGGCGGCTATCATGAAAAAAATATGAGCCAAATCTAACCTAGAGCAGAACAAATAACATATATGTAGTCTCAGGATAAAGAGGATAGGACCCCGCTCCAAGTAGGAGGGAAGCATGAGCAAGGAATGACAGCTCTATCCTCTATCACTTTGACCAAGCTAGTCGGCCTGCGGCATTTGCCGTGTCCCCGGCCCTGGTCCTGCCCCCACCCCCAACTTCCAATGTCAGTGGCATGGTTATGCGGTGGAAATTGGCACTCAAGCATCAATTTTTGAATTCTTTGAATTTGCAAATAAATTAAAATATGGAATTTTGAACTTGCAAAATAATTCAAAATGTGAATTTGAACGTACAAATAGCTTTAAAATGTTGACTAACTCGATTTAATAATGTGATGACAACAACAACAACAAAGCCTTTATCTCACTAAGTGGGGGCGGCAACATGAATCTTTTTTCTCCAATGTCTCCTATTGAGTGTCATATTTTCATTTAATTCTCATACATTAAGATTATTATTTATGCAACATGCCCAGCGTCTTTTTAAGTTTACCTCTATCATTCTTACCAAAAGTTAAATTCAAAACATCTATTCTCCTAATAAAATTATCAGTTGGTCGACGATTGGATTTAATAATGTGATAAATGAAAGAAAATTTTAAGTAATTAAAAATTATCATCATTTTTAATTATAACAATTGAACATATGGTTTGATTTATAAAAGGCTCAATAGCCCACTAGTGATTACAAATAAAAGCATTTCAATGAATATTTAAATTAATCGTTGAATTTTAAAATTATAAATTTGAGATTTTAACACACAAAGAGTTAATAATGCAAGAGCAATTGAGCTTTTAACACATGAAGACCGAAAGGCTCTGAATGATAGATGTTCAAAATTAAACCCAGATTTACAACATCCTTGGCAACAGACATAATGGAACAAACATTATTAAATCAATTCACCATAACACAATATTAACTAAATTGATTTAATAATGTGACAACAACAATAATAAAGCCTTTATCTCACTACATGTGGTCTGCTACATATTATTAATGGAAGCAAATAGGCAATTATAATCAAGCATACTTGAAAATAAAAATACAACACACGTGACACAAACTTGTGTTACGGTGAATCCCAACTGATAGCGGTGACGGTTAGGTGCCCTGGAGAGATGCAGCAATGTAGGAAAGGAGTTTTCGAGCTGTGAAAAAGGAGTGACTGCGATTTTAGGCGGCCGGAACAGTAGGGCAGCAAGAGACAGCAGTCCAAACAGCAGCAATTTGCTGTTTGTGACGGCTGGATAGCAGGAAAACAGCAAAAGGAAGGTGTTGTGTGTGTGATAGCAACGGTACAGGGTTGGGACAGCGAGGGTAGCGAGGATGGAGCACCGGAACAGCACTAGCAGCAGTCATGGGGAGGCTAAAACGCTGTGAGGAGTCAAAAACAGTAAAAGGGAGGGTTGGCAGCAGATTCCAAAAGAAGACAGCAGGAAAGAACAACAATGTTGACTGTCCTAGGCGGCCACAACAAGGAAAGACATTGGTGCGGCAACATGAATCTTTTTTCTCCAATGTGTCATATTGAGTGTCATATTTTCATTTAATTCTCATACATTAAGATTATTATTTATGCAACATGCCCAGCGTCTTTTTAAGTTTACCTCTATCTTTCTTACCAAAAGTTAAATTCAAAACATCTATTCTCCTAATAAAATTATCAGTTGGTCGACGATTGGATTTAATAATGTGATAAATGAAAGAAAATTTTAAGTAATTAAAAATTATCATCATTTTTAATTATAACAATTGAACATATGGTTTGATTTATAAAAGGCTCAATAGCCCACTAGTGATTACAAATAAAAGCATTTCAATGAATATTTAAATTAATCGTTGAATTTTAAAATTATAAATTTGAGATTTTAACACACAAAGAGTTAATAATGCAAGAGCAATTGAGCTTTTAACACATGAAGACCGAAAGGCTCTGAATGATAGATGTTCAAAATTAAACCCAGATTTACAACATCCTTGGCAACAAACATAATGGAGTATTTAAAAAGCTTAAAAGTGAGCTGAAAACTTCAGCTTCAAGGACGGGAGGGATTCAGATTAATTCACCAATAACACATTTATAGAAGAAAGCATGGGGAGTCACATCAAGCTAAAGAGCTGCACATCATAATTTGATCTTAATAGAAAATCACAAATACATATCCAACTTAAGAGCTAGACAAAATGATATTCATTCATTGTTAGGTTTGAAATTCCCTCAGAGAGTTTTTTTATTATAAAGTTTGCTTATTTGTTTAATTTGTTTGGAAAGTTTTTATTATTATTATTATTTGACAAATTTGTTTATGATAAAAGCATAATATTTTGTTTGTGTTTTATAAAACCATATATAATACAATATTGTGCATCAAAAATTTGTCGGCATTGATCTTAAAGAGATACAACAATCCAGAGGGAAGGGTACAGTGAAGGCCCGATGCTAGAAAATCGAGCGAAGTTATGCGAGTCAAGCCAAAAAGGCAAAAACCGACCAAACCATGAGGCGAACAAAAAAAAAAGACCGGATGATTCAAGCAGAAGTCATTTGCCCAGAAACAAGACAAAAGAACAGTCGAGCCAACCGCTACAAAGAGTTTCAGCCCGACATGATAGCCTATCCTCCAGAAAGGTCGATCCAAGGGAATATCCAGTTCCACAATATCTCTAACCATCTCATGGACATCCAGAGACTCCTCACCAAGGATTAAAGATTGACAGTTAGATTAGATCAGCAGACCGATTCATACAAACTAAGCTTGGCCGACCAAGCTAATCACATCGACCAGAAGCTAGTTATGTTTAGTCGGTCGAGCCAGAAAATAGTCGGATGATAAGCTCATACATGTAAAATACTAAAAATACCCTAATACGGACCTCTTTCAAACATGGGCAAGAATATAATATCACCATTGTACACTCTTTATAAATAAGGGAAGCATTTTATGAATAAGACGCGACGGACTACCGTTCATTCCTCTCTCTTTCTATCTATCTCTTCCTATTTACATTCTATTCTTTGGGTGTGATTCACAGACAAATCATGATTTAACAAATAAATATATGACGCATTCATATGCATAATACCCAATTCCTATAAACTTACATATCTAACACCAAAACTCTAATTTTTACATTTATTCATATCACATCAAAAATACTACTTTTAAAAAGTGAAAATTACCTTTTCATGAATAGATAAGGCGGTATGTATGAAAAAATTAATGTTTTGGTATTAGATAAATAAAAATATAAGAATTAAGAAGTGCATAACTAAATTTTCCTAACTATATAAATATGTAAATGCATCAGATCAGATGGGCAAGAAAATAGTCATTATGGGACAGACTAATCTAAACAATAATACTCAATACTAACCATTGTCGACCTTGTACAAGTTAGGAGATGGATGACCACTTAATTTGTGAGAAATAGGGCACTTTAAGTGCCTCTTACCAACCTGTTGAAATAAACATAGTAGATTTAGTGCAAAAAAAAAAGCATTTACATACATAGCACACAATTATTATGTATTTACATATCTAACACCGAAGCTTTCATATTTACACACATACCACTCAAATCTTTAATATCACATAAAAGATAGCACTATTATCACTTTTTAAAAGAGGAAAACACCTTTTGGGTATAAAGCACCGAAATGTTATGCATGTAAATATGAATATTTGGTTTGAGATGTGTAAAATACATAAGAATAGTGTTCTACATTTGTAAATTTCCGAAAACAAAATGTTAAAGTAAACCTACGCCGCCTTCACACTTGAGCTTTGACAATGGCATGCAAAATTGTACATGTAGGTAGGAATGGGAGAGAATGTGATTAATGTTAAGGGATTATGAGATGAATAAAACTAAATCACAGAGACTGCAAAGGAACGAAGAAAGATGAAACACAAGCTATTTGTACAGCAAGGAAAGCATACCCCAGAATGTATTTTTTCATATCAAACTACAAAAACATGAAATTTCAACCATCACAACTGAATGTGAAAGCAATTAAGTTCTGGAAGAAATAAGTTTAGGAGTTTTAGCTAGCAAATCAATTTGTAAAAAATGATTTTCAAATAGCATGAACAGCTTGAAAATGCCTGCACATGGCGAAAAAAGAGACCAAAACCTATAAAATGATTTAATCTCATTTAAACTTTCAAATTCAACTGTAGTCTATTGCACATCAAACTTAAATAACAATATATGATACTAGAAATCAAAATACATTTAAAAATGGACAGGTTAGAATGAAAATATGATTACATGACTTTTAATAATGAATTAAAACAAAATAAAAAAACCACCCAAAAAACCAGATAGAATCAAAAGATGGTAATAAAGTGTAAACATGCTTAATTTCTGTGAGTGAAGAAAGAGATTCTTGTTATGGCGTCGTTTGGTGGGTGGAATTAGGAGTGCACTGTAAGAGAAATGTAGAAGTTTTAAAAATCTTGAAGTTTGGTCAGCAGAAAATAAATGCAATGTAAAATTTTAATTCATTTAGAATTCATTTAAAGTTCAACATTTATTTTATATTGAACTAAACAACCTACCATGGAATTCAATTGGATAGACGGTCAAAAATCAAATAATGCACCCCAATGAACCAAACTCCTCCTCAAATTATGAAAAAGGTAATCGTGCCTTGACGACAATGCCACTGCTTTTCAAATTTTGAACCTGAAAAGGTTCAAAATTGTGTGAAATAATTAACCTCTCAGGTTTCCTTCACAGGCACCTCAAAATGAATTCTTATTTGCCTCGATATCAGAAGACTCGTGCCCTTAAATACACCCTTTTCTTCTTTCAATGACAGACAAAAGATCATCCATGTTGTGAAATATGTGTACAGAACTCACAAATTTTCTAGATCAAACCCCACAAGATTGAATCCCATAAGTAGATAAACGAAACAGAAACTGAATCTGATACAGATTCGCACACAAACAGTTCAATCGTCTCTTGCTCTAATAAAAGAAGGTTCCACGAATCGATCACTCGGATAAATCATATGATGAGGCAAAGAAGTCGTACCTGCGTAAGGAGTTGCCTCCAAGCCATTACCCGGCCTCAAGCTCACGCGCCGTCTCTCTCTCTCTCTCTCCCCCCGATTAGAAGGACGCTCGATCTTATCAGCTCTAAGGTCTTTTCAATTTCTGAATTGTTTGACGCTTCGAGCTTGTGCACCAAGGCAGCATTTAACACTAGTTTGCCCCAGGAAATAAAGCTATGGAAAAATACATAAAAATATAAATAATATGAATATATAAATATTTATGATATTATTTCTAATATCAAAGAATTTTCATCATCACACATAGAATTCAACGTAAGATTCAATAACTTTTAAAATAAATTGTATTTAAATTTTATTTAAAATTTATTCATAATTTTTATTAATTTTGGGTTGTTATAGCTGTTTGAAGAGAAAAAACTGTTCTTCAAAAAAATATAGTGATTATTATATATATATATATATATATATATATATATATTTTAAAAAAAAAAGTTTAACTCAGACTTTCTAACAGCCACTACAAGTAGTCAGGTCCCGTGAAAAAATGCAATTTCAGCTGCAGTTTTTTGAGAAACAAGTAAAATGTTGTTTTGACAAATAGAAAAAATGATGATGCAGCGCCACACCACCGCCCCAAACGCACCCTAAGTCAAACTAACCGGCTTGACAAAACAAACAAAAAGTTTCTCCAATCAGAGTTGGATCAAGCCAATATTGAACCATTAAATCACTTTTGTAAGCTTTCGGTGTCTAATTAGAAGTCAAATGAATTTCAAATTTGACAAGCATATAGTCGAATCAAGTGTCTTGACAATATAAATATAACGAGTTTACTATTATTCGATTTTGACATCATTAGGACACTCAAATGTTCACATAACATCATATGATCCAGATAATTTTTTTGTCATTTGATGAAGTTGTATGAATTTTTTTTTATTAGTAATGAGTCTCTCTCAAACTCTATAAATAGAGTCACACACCCTTGTAAAACTAATGACCTAGAGTGAAGTTTGAAAAAGGACCTAAAGAAGGACTTGACTTAAGAAGTGTGTCGTGGAATCTTAGCATACATTGTGAAGTAATGACGTCGCCCCACAAATGGTGTAGTAACACGCCCCAAATGTGAAGCAACAACACACCTAGAATACAGTATTACAGCACACCCTAAAAATTGTATGCAACTCACCCCGACTACAGTGCAACGATGTTACCCCGAATATGGTGTAACAATGGTCATGGCCTATGCAGGCAACTATGACCTATGTGGCTCACAACTCATGCAGGTCATAACTTCGACATTTGTGGCCAATGGTCGTTATTACAGCTCCTGATCACAACTTATATGACCAACTATGGCCTATACAATTCATAACTCGTGCAGCTCCCAACTCCAACCTTTATGGCCTACAAATATTTTCTTGACTCATGTTGTTTCAAACGTTGGCCTATGCGGTCTACAGACGTAATTACAACTCCTTATCGCAACCCATGTGACCAGCTGCAACTTATGTAGTCAACAACTCATGCAGCTCTCAACTCTAGTCTTTTTGGCATAAGGAGGTTATCATAGCTCATGCTACTCCCAAATTCAGCCACTGTACCCTGCGGACATTATTATGATTCTCTGTCATGAGCCTATGTGACTAATTATGGACTAAGCGCTTCACAGCTCATGCAACTCCCAACTCCAACATTTGCAGTGTATATGCATTATTCCAACTCCCTAATATGATCCATGCGACCAACTATGACCTACATGATCCACAACTCATGCAATTCTTAACTTTGACATCTGCAACTTATGGGCATTATCTTAGCTCATGCAAGCCCAGTTTCTACAACATAAGAACGTACCCACAGCTTCTACAACTCCCTATTACGGCTTTTTATGGGCAACTAATGCTTCTGAAGCAACCCTCTATGGCCCATGTGGCCAAATATTACAATGACTTTCGACAATGGCCTCAAACACAAGTTGGACCTACAACTACCATCTACAATACTCATGGCAGACTGCTGTCTCCATAACATCCGACAACTGCTTTTACGACCCATTATGACTATTATTGTTGATATATTCTTATACATCAACTTCATAATTTCTTCTTCTCTAACTTAGAAGAAGATTAGGAACACATACTCACCATTTGTTGTGGATTATTTCAACTGGGCAATGCCACATTATTTTTTCCTCTTTCTATGATTTTCTGCATAAAAATCAATCTGTCTCATCTTGTTACATAAATTTAATCTAAGCGTGTGTTAGATTCTCGTGCAACACTGAGATGATAATTCGTTACTTTACAAGCACAAGCCTTTCGAACCACATCAGTTTGGTGTCATCTATGATAAGCAAAGTTCCAATAAGCATAGTTCTCAAGTTAAAGATGCAAAGCCTCTGCTTCATTATCTAATGATATACATCAGCCAACCGACAAAAAAAATCATATTTGTACCTCTTGAATATTATTTCTTTTCATATTCTTATGTGAGAGGCAGCCTTCACTACGATTTCGAAAGGTGGTTCACGTTAACGTCATGAGCACGATTGTAGCTTGTTCGATGATTTTCCTGCATCTTATTCATACACAAAATCCATAAAATGTAGTTCATGTTAATTTATCAGGCACAATATGGTAGGGTAGTCATCCCACATCTCATTCAAACATCAAGTTTTTAATAACTGCTTACAGGTGTGGGGCGACCTTATCTATAAAAAGCATTTTGTTAGTGCCCCCTCACCGTGCTGAAATTCTTCTTCAATTGGATGATGGAGTTGATCTATTTAAAATTTACATGGGTTGCTTTAGAGGCTCATGTGGATAATACCCCATTGGGATACAACAAGTTAAAAAAATAATAAGTTCTCGAACATCATTCTTAAGCATGACTACAATTATATTTATGAGAAAAATATTGTCCATTGTTGCCTACCCCATAATATTGAGAAACGTATGGCTTCCCCGACACCTCATTTTGGTCTTAATCAATTCCAAAATGGTCTCAAAGGGTGTGTGAACTGAGAGTCGTCCGCACTCCAAGGGTTAAGATCTCCCTCAATACTTAACCAAAAGGCATTTGGTTTGTTCCTATAGCTTCACCAAAGTGAGACAAACTAATATATATGGTTAAGTGTGGATGTATTGTTCATCTTCTTCATAAAGACCAAAACAATGTTTAAACTAGGAGTTTTGAACCCATACCATGTCTCAGTAGGTAAAGTTCGATTGGGGTTGATGGAAACGATCGTTGATGCCACGAAGCTTCTGCTTGCTTCTATTTGAGGTGAAATTGGTCCTAGTTATGAGTAAGAACAAATGGGAGCACGAGTTAGTTAGACTATGGTGGAAGGTGCGGGAAAGTTGGATTTTGATTGAGACAGTGGTTTTAAGGCCCTGTAAAGCTTTTGGGAGGGTTAAATTAGAATCTCGGGGGAGTTTGTTTTAAGTTCGTGATAACCCCTGAATTTTAGAAATGAAATTAGGGTAATGGGGTACTGAAGATGGCTTGGAAATGGTGGGAATAAGTTACTCTAATATTTGGGAGCAAATTTGGTGTTGGAGGTAGAGGGTTTAAGAGAGGTATTGAGGAGTTTTTAGGAGTTATGAAGCTCTCGGGTCACCCCCCTTTTATAGCCATGGAGGCTCTATGTGGAGCTCTGAGGTGCTTAGGGATTTTTGGTGGATCTTAAGAGATTGAGCAGAAGGATTACAATAGCTTAGGCAAAGGGATGAGAGCTTTTTGGTATTTTTTATGTTTTGACCATGGTAAGCTCCAATGGAGATGGAGGAAGCATGATCAAGGCTTGAGAGGATCATGAAAGCTTTTAGCGTGGTGGCTAAGACCAGAATTGGTCTGGTTTGACTCCCAATGGGCTGGACTAAGGAGTTATGACTTAGTTGTCATGTGTTGAGTGGCTTTACTAAGTGTGTCTTCTTGTCTTTCAGTGTTTGTTTTGGACTTTAATTATTTTCACTTAAATTTTTAATTATGTGTTTTAATGATAGGTCATGCTAGTAATCCATGGGGTTGGTTGGTTCATGAGGGGTGAGTCATGGGCCTAAGTTTAAGCGCGGGCTTTAGTGATTAAGTATGGCCTTGGGCAATTAGGTTAGACCAAAATATTAGCCATAGTGGGCTATCATAATTAACCTAACTAAATAATTAGGTTAATTATGGAACTTGCCTCCTTATTTTAACTTTGATTTTTAAGTGAGTTTGGTCTTAACACTTTAAATTGATTTTGATTTTATTTTGATATGTTTAGTTTTTTATTAATTGATTTAATTTTTTGAGTCAAGTTAACAAGGGTTCACTTGAGTTTTGGTGAATTTAGGTGATTTTAAATTTTAGGGTAAAGTTGATGTGTTCAAAACTTATGTTAATTTTAGGGTTAGTTAGTGTTGGGAAAAATCTGGTGGGGCCAAAGTTTAATTTTGGTGACCTACCCCTGCCTTTGGTTTGAATTTTATTATAAAGGGATTTTTAGATTTTTTATGTCTGTGTGGTTAGAGATAAAAACGTTCATTGGCCTTGGATTAGCTTCATGCTTAATGGCCTTGTCTTAACATAAAGAGAATTTATGAGGTAGCCAAAAGGTTATTAGGGGGATCCCTAGGACTCTGGACTCCACGGGTAGCTTAAGTCAATGTACACCTATAGGAATTCAACTTGGGCTTATATTGGTTCAAAACCCCAATCATTCCATCAAAAGGTTGGGGATTGAGGCTTAACCTTTGATACCCTATGTGAATGTAGAATTTGTTTGAAAGTCTATGCGGGTAAGTTTCATCTCTTGGCATCTAAGAAGGTCCTTACAAAACCCTAAGGCTAGATCCTAGGCTTCTATAAAGAGAAAAGAGGTCATAACAAAAGCGAGCTCAACACACATATGTTGTGTTAAGGTTCCAATGAGTCTAATAGGCGCCACTTAGACTTTTCATTCATATGAACTATTTTAAATGTATAAAAAATGTACATTTTCATTACTTTATGCATCATGTTTTCAAAAATCTATTTTTAAACTATTTGCGTCTCCATTTTAGATTGTATAAGAGGTCAAATTTTACAAAAGCTTTCGCAAAACATGCATAGAATGACAGCTCTAAGAATTCTTGGATCCTTAGGATGGGGCCGAAGATGGCGACCTTGTCAAAACATACGCCAG